CAACTTAGAAAGATCAGATACACGCGCCGGGGGAGGAGGCTCCTGCGGACGCGCAGGCAGAGGGGGTGGCGGCCGGTCCTCCGGAGCAGGCGGAGCTCGCGCGGGAGGGTGGGGGCGGGGGGGGGGCGGAGGCCTGAGTGCCTCCCTCGTGTGGCTGCGTGCCCCACGCCTCGGAGGGCGGCCCCCCGAGGGAGAGCGAGCTGTGCTGGGACGCCTGCGACGCCTCCTCCTCCTCGTCGCCGCCAGACGCCCGCCCGCGCGACCCTTGCGAGAAGGGGCTGAGAGGCGGGTCGAGCTGCGTGAAGAGCAGGCCGGGCAGGGACGAGGGCGCCTCCTCGCCGTCCTCCGCCCACCCTTCGCCTCCACCCTCCCGCGCGAGCCCCGCCTGCTCCGGAGGACCGGCCGCCACCCCCTCTGCCTGCGCGTCCGCAGGAGCCTCCTCCCCCGGCGCGTCTGCAGGTGGCGCGGCGAGCGCAGAGGCGCCCTCAGAGGCGACCTCTCCCGCAGAGCCAGGCGCGCCGCGCGCCGCGGGCTGCGACGTCTGCACAGCCACCTCCGCCGCCTCCTTCTCGGGCGCGGGCGCGGTCTGGATGCCGGTGTCCGCCGTCGGGATGGAATGCTGAAGACAGGCGTCGACTGTCGCAGGGAGGGGTGCCGACTGGACGGAGGCGTCGGCCGCCGCAGGAGGAGGCTCGGCAGCCTGGACGGAGGAGTCGGCTGACGGAGGACGGGACTCGACCGCTTGGACGGCCGAGTCGGTCGTCGCAACTGCCGGCTCCGCCGCCTGAGCGGATGCGTCGGCTGCCGCGGGCGCCGCCTGAACGGATGAATCGGCTGCTGCAGGCGCGACCTGCATCGAAGCGTCGGCCGCTGCAGGCGCGACTTGCATCGAAGCGTCGGCCGCTGCGGGTACGACCTGCATCGAAGCGTCGGCCGCTGCGGGTACGACCTGCATCGATGCATCCGCCTGTGTGGGAGCCGGCTCGACCGCCTGGACTCCAGCGTCGGCCGTGATCGTGCGAGGCGGCACCGCGTGGGACGCCGCGTTGGCCGGGGCGGGCTCTGAGGCCCGCACCGCCACGTCCACCCGGGCCGTGGCAGAGCCAGCCATCGCGCCACTCAGCTTTTGAGGCGGGCTGCCCCTCGCGAGAAGGTAGCAAAACACCTTTCGGTCGACGCTGTTCTCCAGGTCGCCGAGCTGAAGCAGGCAGCCTGGGTAGAGGAGCGCCGAGTCGCCGTTGGCGTGGCCGAGCCCGATCTCGTGCGACGCCTCGCCGCCGGAGGCCACGATGCGCACCGGGTTCTCGTGCAGAGCGACGCAGCGGACAGCGTGCTCGGCGTCGCAGAAGAAGCGGACGTGGCGGCTCCGAGAGATTGTCGAGCCGTCGATGCCGAGCGCCGTGCGTCCGATAGTCACGTCTTGCGAGAGCGGCACGCTCCGGACGGTGGAGGCGCCACCCACGAGGCGAAGCTCCCAAACAGGCGACGCGGCGGCGGGGGTTTCCGGCATGCAACAGTGGGTCGGTCGTTGTTCCAAGGGCGGGAAGATTTTTTTTTGAGAGCGCCTTCGTTGTTAATAGTTGTGTCTGTGTGTCGCTCGTGCGTGTCGTCATCATCTGTCCAGCGTCCACCCATACCGCGTTGGTGTCCAGTCCGAGCCTGGCTGTTCTTCACCTTTCTACCTATGTATGTTGGTAGGGAGGTGATGACGAGTCAGTTATGCGCGGCGGGCGGTTAGACGTTACGGGGCGAATCGAACGTTGGGAGGCTTCGGAGGTGCGGAGCGTGTCTCATTGGGTCAGGCCTGCGACCGACACCCACCGGAGCGTGGCTTTGGCGCAGGGCCGGCCGCACCATGCCGAATCCGCTCGCGTTCGTCGGCGGGGGCGCGGCGCTGACGGCGGCGGCCCGAGCGGCGGACAAGGCGAACAGTGGTGGCGGACCATTCAGGCGGCTGGGCGAGGGCCGCGGCGCGGCGTTGCGGGAGGCTTGGCCGGTGGAGGCGCTGCACACCGTGCCCGCAGCAAGGCGGGCGGCGACGGGCGACGCGGACGAGCTGTTCGCGTACGCCCGTCCGCCCAAGAGCAAGGCGAAGCGCGAGGCGGGCGAGCGGCGCGCCTTGCAGCACCAGGAGTGGGCTGACGCGCCCAAAGAGAAGAGGCAGACATACATACATACATACATACATACATCTCTGTACTCTGACTGCGCCGCCGGCGCCGCCACGCATGCAGTTGGGTGCTTCTGTCAGCGGAGTGACCTACCTATAGGTTACTGACTGCACTCCAAGTGCTCCAAGTGCTGGGCGGGCTTTGCCTGCCATGTGCCATGCGTGGCAGCCGCCTTACCCAGCGGCTGAGGGAGGGTGTATAGAGGGTAGTGTAGAGAGAGCACGACCAGAGCTGCTGTGGTTTCAGCCTGCACCCCTGAGGGAGGGTGTATGTAGAGGATGTAGAGTGTAGAGCGCTGCTTGAGCTGTAGATAGAGCTGGAGAGCGCTGTAGAGCTGTAGAGCTCTACATCCGCCGCGGGACGATGTGAGTCCGATGTAGAGCGATGTAGACGCGCCCTACAACGTGAAATCTCTACAACAAACTCCTACCTTAATAGTACAAACCCAATTGTCCCTTGCGAGCGGGCAAGTCGCACTCCTCTCCTTGAAATCAAGCCCACTCTTTCCTTTGCACCTGATGCTACAGAGGGCTGGCAGCGAGCTGGGAGGGAGCCCATCGCACCATCAGGTGGAAGAGAAGTAGTGTTGGGCTGCTTGAAATCCCTGTGTGGTGGCGGCGTGCCGTCCTCCCATCCCTCCCTTGGCTTGTCCCTTTCGTTTCTTTCTTTTTGGTGATTTTTGTTTCCCTCATCGATGTGCCTTTTGTAGTGCCAGTCCGAGCCAGTCGTCGGCGTAGTCGAATTCTTCATCGCAGTCGTTCATCGGCGACGGCAACTCGCGCCAGCGCCCCCCCTCTTTGTGTAGATCTAGCGCGTCGCGTTCCCCTCCTGCATTGCTTCCCTTTCTCCTCCTATCAGCCTGCACCATCGTTCGAATCACCACCTATGCCACGGCTGCTGCTGCGAGGTTGCCGGCTCTCTCGCGCGCGAATGGCCCTGTGTGTGTGTGTGTGTGTGTGTGTGTGTGTGGCGCTCTCGCTCTCATGCGTGTACCCGATTTTCTCTCTTGTCGTGTGTATAATGTACGGGGTGTGGAGGGTGAGTTGACCAGGGGTTGTGCGCCGGGCCCTCCTGCTCGGCTCCAGCCAGTAGACAAGTCTTGTCATCAACAGAGTAGAAGGATCTGACCTCCTCGGGGCCGATGTGACCAAGCGCTGGTAGCGTGGTTTTACCTCACACCCACGGTCTCACAGTGTGCCGGCAGTCGCCGAGCAGTGTCGCTCACACAAGCCGCAGCACAAGTGACTGGGGGCCAGTGAGGGCGAGCTCATCGCTGTCACAGCTGTGGCAGCCGCACAGTAGGCTGTGTCAACTCTGCGCAGAGTGTGTGTGAGCAGCAGAGGAGCTGCTCTCCAGGCTTCAGGCGCAAAGAGCTGCATGCCAGCGAAGGCGCTATCGAGGTTCGCCGAGCGCGGCGCAGGTTGAGGGAAGCCGCCACCGACGAGCGCGTTGGACGTTTCACTCCGGACAAAAAACGCGGCACAACGGACGGTGCGGGGCGTGCCACTGTCTTAGCGGCGAGGCGCGGGACCGTCTGTGGCGAAGTGGGTCGCGTCCCTCGATTTCCGTCAACTCACCCTCCACACCCTTGAGCACTTGAGCACTGGATAGGGTCGATTCCGCGTCCGGAGAGCTATGCATGAAGCGGCCGGCGCGCCACCGCAGCGCACCAATGGAGGTTGCGCTGCGGCACAATCCACAGGCGCAGCAGCACTGCGAGGCATTCTCCAAGCACGGCCTCTGGCGTTGCAAGTGCATGGAGAGCCCGCAATAGTCGACAAAAGCACTGCTTGGTGCGCAGTGGACCACCACGTCGGTCGCGCCCTGCGAAGGGACAACCGCGGGCGCGCGGCCGCGGGCCCCGCCGGCCGCCGCCGCGGACCGGCTTGCGTCGGACGCGGCGCCCGCCGTGCGAGTTTCAGACCCGGAGAAGGCCGACCCAGCTCATCCCCAGAGAGGCCATGACCAGGGTCAGCCATGAGAGGGGGCTTTTTCCATCCGTCCAATGTTTTTTTCGCACCCTCTCTATATCTCATGTCGGCTGAAGACTTGGCTGAAGCCTGGACTGGAGAGAGTCTCGCTGGACCTCGCGCGCGGGAGTTGCGCGCGTTGGCCGTCGGCCGTCGCGCACCGTGGCCGACGCGGTTTTTGAGTTGAGACGTCACGTGCATGCGAATTCTCAGAGAAAGGGCTCTCTCCTCTCTCTCAAAAGGCGGTCTCCGGCCGGCTCGCAACCCACCCCTTGACCGCAGGGTGCGCGGCGACCGAATCAGCGATGCAGTTGAGCGTCGGGCATTCTGCGGCGGCTGTTGCCACGAGAGCAGCGTCCTCGGCGGTCCCCTCGCGCAGCAGGCTCCAGATGCAGACGTCCGCGTAAGAGAGACTGCCACCGATCGCGTGCGACGCGCCGGCTCCGGATAGCTCCACGACGCAGGCTTCGATGCGGCCGAGCCACCCTGGCAGGTCCGTCCCGTACCACTCGTCAGATGCGGCCGCCTTCTCGTCGTCCGTCTTGCCGCGCGTCATACGCGAAAAGCCCTTGGCCCGTTGCGCGTCGCGGACGTCCCTGATGTGCTCTGCCACCATGTCGATCTGGGCCCGCTCGATGGCCGATTTGCCCAACAAGCCTGCGACGTCGGCGACGTATCGCTCGATCGCCTTGCTCTGGCCAATGGCGCCTTGGTCGGTGATGAGCAGCGGAGCTCGGTTGAGATTGAGAGCCAGCGCTCCGCCCTCCTTCTCCGCCTTGAACTCGGGCGCCTCGAACCCCGGCCCGATGGCGTAGCGGTGGTCCTTGAACTCGAGCCCGCCGACAGCAAGCAGCACTCGAGTAACCTCGGCGGCGCCGCGTGCGTCGAAGTACTTTAGGGTGAGCGAGGAGGACGCGAGAGCCAGCAAGAGGAGCGACATCGACATGTCAGACGAGCTTTGCTTCGGCGCAAAAGAATGCGGCGCTGCGAGCCTGTCGTGTCCCTTGTCAGGAGCAGGAGAGCCCCACCTGTCCCCCTGATCGTTCTTCCAAAATCCTGCTCGTGCAGGTGTGGACCCTGTCCTCGTCCCATCCCTCGTTTGGCTTGTCTGTTTTCTTTCTTTCTTTTACGGCACTGGGTAAAAATTCTTTTTTTGTGCTGCACGCCCTGCGAGCGGGGCGGGGTGCGCACTGTCCCTCTGTGTTCGTGTGCGTCGCCCATCTCTCCCTGGAGATGACTGCTATTTATGGTGTGGCCCTCGGTTTTCTTCTTCAAAGACCAAGTGTGTGTGTGTGTGTGCACTCACAAAGACCAAGTAGTGCCCGTCTTGCCGCGAAGTGCGGCCGCAGTGCGGCATCATGCCCGCAGTCGACCTCGTCGTCGACACCGACTTGTCGATCGACGTGGACGACGTCGGGGCGCTCTGCCTCGCCCACGCACTCGCCGACCGGGGCGAGGCACAGCTGCTCGCGATGACCCACGACACTGGCCTGTTCCCGCATGGAGTCCGTGCCCTCTCAGCCATCAACAAGTTTTATGGGCGTGGTGACCTTCCCATCGGCGCGTACGTGGGCGAGGTTGGCGACCCCGAGAGCACCCACGTAGAGCCGCCTTTCCTGTGGACGCGAAACGGGAGAGGCCACTACGTAGACGAGTTGGTCGCACAATGGCCTCAAGGCAGGTCGACAACCGGCCGGTCGGTGGCGAAACTGCCCAGGGCCGTGCGTGTGTTGCGGGATGCCTTGGCGACTGCGGCCGACGCGTCAGTAGTCATTGCCGCCATCGGCTTTGCCACCAATCTTCGCGACCTCCTCCGCTCGCCGCGGGACAGCGATGGCGATGGCTTGCCCCCGGGAGTCGAGCTGGTGAGAGAGAAGGTGCGGCGCCTGGTCTGGATGGGGGGGCGGGCGCGGCCGGTCTGGTCTATACACCCGCCCGAATGGAACTTTGCCGCCTGCGGCGGCGAGGCCTCTTGCGGCCCGTACAGTCAGCTCGGCGAGATCACAAACGTGACGCTGGACGAGTGGCCGGCGGCGGTGCCAATCAGCTTTCTCGGCTTCGAGGCGGGGGTTGAGGTTCAGACGGGTGGGTTCCTCCGCGACTACCCCGACGGCTCCTCGCCGTGCGCCGACGGCTACCGCGCCTTTTGCTCGCGGATGGGTGGATGGTGTGGTCTGGGCGGGCGCGCTTCATGGGACCCGATGGCGGTTCTCTACGCGGTGCGCGGCAACTCTTATGGGCGCTACGATATCGAGCCGGGGCGAATGATGGTCGATCCCCGGAGTGGACGCAACACGTGGGATCACCGCGGGGGCTTATCCCGCGGCACGGGTCAGGAGAACCTCCTGCTTTCCCCTCGCTGGTACACCAACATCAGTGCAGAGATTGACCGGCTCCTCTACGAAGCTCCGTTGCTTCAGCCGCCCTCCCTGCCGCCGTCGCCACCGCCTCGCCCGCCTGCGTCACCACAGCCTCTACTGGCGTCACCAGGGTCTCCGTCCCTGGCATCCCAGGAGACAGATGGGCTGATGCTTGCAAAAACCGCCCTCACCTCGGCGTTTGTCCTCCTGCTCTTGCTCCTAGTGCTGCTCGAGTGCGCCTTGGTCACAGTCCGCAGACCCCGTCGCCCCGCCGACCCCACTCCGCGAGACGGAGCGGCATCGCGGCCGAGGTCCAAAGCGGCCAGACGAACGCGTGGGGACGGCGCGCCACGCCAGAAGCACGGCCGCAGAGAGAGACCCTGGCGGACCCTGCGCGAGGATGAGCAGGAGCTTGGCCAGGAGGGCGGGTATGCCGGAGCGGACGAGGCTGGGCCAAGCGCCGGAGACTCATAGTTGCGGAGGGCCCTAAGGCCGCCAAGATTTTGGTCGAGGGCGTCCGACCCAGAGCCTTGGAGCCCCCGCGGCCGGGTAGGGGGTACGGCTTTACGGCTTTACCTCTTTACACTTTATCTTTAGCTCCCACGCCAGGCGGCGCGGAGCCAGAGCGCAGTCCGCAGAGGCCGGCAGACCGCCAGGGTGCAGGGAGCTGGGACGTGGGAGGCCGCAGCGAGGCCAGAGCTCGCGCGGGTGAGTGCGGCGCCCCGCGCGCGCTCTATATTTCCTGACATTTCCTACGTACGTCCCCGCTGTGATGATGAGCCCGAGACGTACGTTCCCGCGCGGCTGCGCATGTAACATCAGCATGATGATCTCTGATGATGCGAGAGCGCTGCAACACGGCATCTCATTCTGGAAGATCACACACATCGAGAACACACAACCACAAATATGTCGAGGTCATGCACTGATGGACACGTCATGTACTCGGCAGCGCGATCTGCGCGCAGGCGTCTATGCGAGGAGAGCCGCGCGCTTGATGTAGGACAGCTGCGGGTACTCTTCGGTGAAGTATCTGTTGCCTTGCTGTTTGGCAGCAGCCTGGTTGGGCCCCTTGGGCATTTTCACAAAGCTCTCGGCAACGTCGAAGCCTTCGATCACCTTGGCGAAGGGCGCGAAGCCTTGGCTGTCAAGCTGCGCGCACGAGTCGTCGTAGTTGATGAAGACCTGGCTGCCTCTCGCGTGCGGACCCGAAGTTGCGAATGACATGGTCGCCTTCTTGTTGCTCACCTTGACGGGGTCGTCGGTGATCTTATTCTCGCCCCACTTCTCGTACTCTCTGGGGTCGGCGGGGATGCCCCACTGCGCGATGAAACCGGGTATCACTCGGTAGATGCGCGCCTCGTCGAAGTAGTTTGCAGCAATGAGGGCCAAGAAGCGCTGCGCGCCGATCGGCGCCCACTCGGAGTGAACCTCGACCAGGATCTTGGACGTGCTGTCCGGCCTGCTCGGATCGAGCACGATGTCTAACTGTACTCGCACGGGAGTGCCCATGCGATCCGAGCGGCGAGCCGGCGTGAGCCCACTTGTCGCGCTAAAAGAGAAAATAACCACGCCCCTCGCATCTAAAAGAAAAGCGCGCTGCTAGAAACGACCGCGGGGGGCAGCATTCGACACTATGTCCTCCTCGGCGTCCAGTTGTCGTCAGCAGCCCCGGCCGCGACGCATCACGCGCGCCGCGTCGCGCGCGGCCGCGGCCGCGCTCCTCTCCGACTCTCCCGGCGAGGTGGTCGCGCATATCCTCAAGCAGTGCGAGCCGCGCGACTTAGGCGCCCTCGCTTGCACGGCGCAGTGGCTGCACCCGCTGCTGGAGCTGGCGCTTCGGCTGCGCGCTGGGGAGAACGGGCACGCGCTCCCCAAGAAACTCCCGCTGGGCGACGACTCGTGCCACCGCCGCGTCCAGGTGCTGCTCTCGCTCGAGCGGCGGCGGGCGCAGCTCGGGCGCCGCACGATTGCGGCGGGAATGTCGCACTCGCTGTTCATATCGCCCGAGGGCACGCTGCTGTCGTGCGGGACAGAGTGGGACGTGGACGGCAACCCGACGCCTGGCCTCCTCGGCCACGGAGAGCTCGCCGAGGAGGAGCTGCCAGCAAATTCGATCCACGTTCCGACTCCCCTCCCCGGGCTCGCCAGCGTGCGCATCCACTCCGTCGCCGCGGGCGTCTCGCTCTCGCTCGCAGTCACGTCTGAGGGCGAGGTGTACTCGTGGGGCCAGGGAAACATGGGCCAGCTCGGCCACGGCACCTGGGCCAGCTCGCAGTCCACGCCGCGCCAGATCACCGCCTTGGCCTCGGAGCGAGTCGTCGCCGTCGAGGCTGGCCTCATCCTTTCCCCGCCCTTCCTCTTCTCTTCTGACTCTTCTCATGAGTCGGATTCGGGTTCTAGGCTGGTTTCATCCACGCCCTCGCCCTCGCAGGCGCGGCCTAACCCTCTCCCCCTCCCTCTCCCCCTCCCCCTCCCCCTCCCTCTCCCTCTCCCTCTCCCTCTCCCTCTCCCTCTCCCTCTCCCTCTCCCCCTCCCCCTCCCCCTCCCTCTCCCTCTCCCTCTCCCCCTCCCCCTCTCCCTCTCCCTCTCCCCCTCCCCCTCTCCCTCTCCCTCTCCCTCTCCCTCTCCCTCTCCCTCTCCCCCTCCCTGGCTCCCTCCCTCTCCCTCTCCCTCTCCCTCTCCCT